GTCTCTAACTATCTGGGTGAGCGAGATGCTGCATCCCAGCATCCTTGAGGCAGAATGAAGGAAATTAGCCAGCCGCCCCTCCCGCTCTCCGGCCCCAGGGGACACAGGGACAAGGCTGCCTTTACTTTCTGTCCATGTCGGAAGCCGCGGCGTAGTGCAGAGCTGTCCTGCCCCAGTCATCGGTCTCGTTCACGTTGGCCCCCGTGGTCACTAACACCTCGATGCAGTGGAAGTGGCAGTTCGCAGCTGCATAGTGCAAAGGGGTCCTGGAAGACAGGCGGCAAGGTGTGACCTCCCTCAGGCGGCACACAGGCCCATGAAGGCAGGGTTCCTACGGGTGTGGAGAGGTCTTCGTCCCCCAGAGCGCGGAGGCCAGGGGCGGTGCCTGCTGTGAGGCTACAGAGACAGTGGCTTCAGACAAGGCCGTCCACCCGCAGACCCGCCTTCCAACTCTTCGTGCCTCTCCTGGTGCAGGTCGATGTCACTGCCCGGATGAAACACTGCAGGCCATCCCTCTTAGCCTCCTATCTCGAATCAATCCTCCATTGACTTTCTAGTTGTTCCGGATGAAGAACTCGGCTTTCTAAGGTCCGATACCCACATCTGACAATCCTGTCCCCCCTGACAAGGGCCCATGTGAAGCTGAAGACCTCCCCAAGTTGGTCCCGATCTACCTTCATGGAGTGTCTCTCTCTCCCCTAGATGAGCCCATTATTGAATCCAAACGAAATGACCTGAGGTTGTCCCTGTCATGCTCACACTCCCTTCCACTGTGCCAAATTCCTCTCATCCCTGGAATGCAGCAGGGAGCAGTATTCCACCCATGAAAACCCCACTCCACCGGAAGTTCTCTCTCTTCTGTCTGAGATCGCTGAGCGCCTGTCTGGGCCTCTCTCATCCTGTGCTGCCTTGATGTTAGCTGTTGGTGTTGTCTCACCTTCTCCACTGAACTATACGGCTAATAGGAAGAGCGATACACATGGAATCTGGAGCCCCGGGTTCTGGTCTGGACAGGTGTGCAGGCCAGCCCCAACCACACCCCCTCTCCAGGCCCGGGCATCGTCCTTCTGGCTACAAGGACCTCGGGTCCACTCGAGTTCTGAAATCCCATGCACGTGCACAACTCGTTTAGTTTCTCTGGGCTCAATTAAAAAGGATAATGAGCATCTCCATGTACCTCATGGAGTTACTATGAGAAGCCAAGCGAATAACATTTAGAAAACACAGCACTTGTAAAGCATACCACAGAGCAGGAATATAAGGTTTTATATCACTTATTTTTAGTCCTCAATTATTTTACAGTCCATCTGGTGTTGCTAGTATCAGGGGATACTAGCCAAACAAATTGCTAGAAATGGATTAACTTTTTTTGTCAAGTACCATTTATTAATTTTCAAGTCCAACTAATTTATATTTTGTAGGCAATTTATGGGCTCTTTGACCACTTGATTTACTCCTTTTTAGTCCAAAAAAGGGAAAGTATAAATATTTTACATGTTGGATTGCTTATGCTTTTGTTGCTTTGTTGGCGTTTCGCTACAAGGACTTCCTTCCGAGGATGGACTCTTCCAACTAGCTCCCCGTTTACCATCCCATCATCACGTGACAGCATTACATGACAGCATCACATGACAGCATCACATGGCTTCCAGATGGACTGCTCCCTGCTGCTGTCAGTTAGGCACCGGAAGCAGAGTTCTCTGTTTACATACCTCCCACACTTGTCCTTTTTGTGGAAATCCGCTCCACTGCTCTGCAAGAGTTTTATACATTCCACGTTACTGGAAAGACAGAGAACATCATTCAGGGGTGGCGGCGACCTGCGGGGCTCGCTGCAGGAAGACCTGTGTTCTGCAGAGTGCGGTGGCGGGAAACCACAGTTCCAGCTTTAGATTCTAGCAACACCCTGAACATACAGCAAGGCCATATTAAGGACCTACGGTTCCTACAATTATTTTTCCAAAGCTAAACGATCAATACGAGAAAGAGCTTGATGAAACATTTTCAATTCCATGACGATGGCATTTAATGGTTATTATATGATTAAACCTGTCAGTGATGGTCTCGTCATGTACCCTAAAATTCTCTTTCAAAACCATCAAGAGTGTGGGAAACAGCCCTCTCAACCTAGGGTCATGTCACCTTTAAACAACGAGCCAGACTGGAGAGCATCACCTTTCATCATGGCAGAATGAACTCGCCATGACCACCATTTCTGACCCAGACCTTCCCTCATAGAAAATGAAACGGCTGCGTTTCCCTGCCTTTGTGGTCTCAGGAAGTGAATGTGCAGAACCACGCTGAGAATGATGTCGTGGAGCGCAATGATCTTCCAACGCTCCTTTGTCATTCGCAGCAGCGATAAATCATGTTTAGTGGAGAGCGAAGGACCCACCGAAGTGAATTTTCCTATCGAAGGGCGTGTAGTTAAATATTAATTCTAATAGGAGTTACAGACATGGATTCAGAATGGTGTGCTCACTTTCTGTACAGGCCTGATATTTTTTTTTTTTTAATGTGGACATCAGAGGAGACAGTCATCCATCATTGTTCTAAACTTCGAATACTAAGAAGTGGCCTGGGATTTACTGTTTTATTATCATTTAACTAAGAAAAATGATCTCGTTCATGATAAGCCTGAGCAGGGCTCTCCCCACCCCACAGCCACCCGTCATAGCCACCTTTCTCAGAGAACGGGCTGTTTTAGCCATAAAACATGAGAACTTTCGAGACCACTTTGGGCTGGGGTAGCCTGCCTGCTGATATAAGCACCTGTCCTTCCCGCATGAAGCCAGAGGCTCAGAGACAGACAGAGCCCAGGTATGTGGCTCACAGAGCCCACGTGATCTCGGGGAATGAGGTGGGGGGAAGGAGGGCCTTCACACAGACAATAGTGTGGTGAAGGCCTGGGGTATAAAAATAATAAGACAAAATTATAAATATAAAACTAGATTTCAGACTTCAGAAGGAGACCACGCAATAAGGGGCCCTATAGCTTCAGTCAACCCACTTCTAATATACAGGCAAGAGGAGAGGTGTTGTTGGTTCTCAAGGATTAGGAAATTGATTAAGAACCAACATCTTGCCCTGACTGGTTTGGCTCAGTGGATAGAGCGTTGGCCTGCGGACTGAAAGGTCCCAGGTTTGATTCTGGTCAAGGACATGTACCTTGGTTGCAGGCACATCCCCAGTTTGGGGTGTGCAGAAGGCAGCTGATCGATGTTTCTCTCTCATTGATGTTTCTAACTCTCTATCCCTCTCCCTTCCTCTCTGTAAAAAAATCAATAAAATATATTTTTAAAAAAGAAAAAAGAACCAACATCTTACCCAAACAAAGCCATCTGAGAAAGGCCAGGTTTGGCTGATGAGTGGTCATACATCAAAATATATTGATGAGAGCCTTAATCTCACCACTGATATCAAAAAGAGTATATCTGATGAAAAATTATCTTTACAATAAAAAAAAAGGCAAGGGTTAAACTTCTTTCTTATCCTTTGGGTTTTCTTAAGCGTTGTTCACATTTAACTGCTACGAAGACTTAAAAATAAGGACAAAAACGTCTGTAAATGAACTCAACCTTGGATTCCCTCGATCACATTATTTTCTTTCAGTGTAGCGAGTACCAAGGAGATGCATATTCTATAGGGTGAACATCTATAATTAAAAAAAAAAAAACGGAAAGGAAAGAAAATGAGGAGAAAGAGAGAATAAAACTAAAGAAAAACTATTTCTAGATGAGATGGGCTAAAATTTTTCTCTGGAAGGACAATAACGCAAGTAAATCTGGAAAATGTAATCCAGCGATACTTGGTGTTGGCAGAAACGGTTCTGACCCAGTTCACTAAGGAAACGGCCTTTGAGTCCCAGACCACTGGCGTCCAGTGAGAGGCATTCGTCACTAAGAAAAGGAAGTCACAGCTGAAATTGCGCACTACTCACCCTCCTGCAGCAGCGGCATGAAGGCACGTTCTTCCGAATTTATCTGGGGTGTCTATTTCAAAGCCTGCAGACAGCACGTGCTCATTACTAAACAAGGACACTATGCTATACTTTTGTCCTAGTTAAACCACAAGAAACATTGCAGAGACAGAAAAATCAGTTAGTAGAAAAACCAGAATGCAAAGCAACTGTAGTCAGAAAGAGGTTGTCATGGAAACACACGAATGGGAACCGCTCAAGCGTGGCAATTGTATAGGAAGAACTGGGAAGTCAAGAAGAATTTATTTTCACGTTCAGCTCTGGGTGAGCCACAGCCCCGTATTTCAACCCCAGGATAGACACTGATGGAAGCCCACTGGAGGCAAGGAGGGCGACAGCTGGGCAGACAGGACACACGGAGAAAACACGGAAGGTGCAGGAGGGATCCCAACATGCCGGCATAGAGAGTTTCTTAATGTATCATCAGCTGCAGTCGGTCTGCGGTTTGGGAAACGTGCTCTCATGCAGGGAGGCTTTTTAGACATGCCAAAATCAGCGGGAGCAGGATCCACCACAGGTAAAGTACTTAAAGGGGTCAAATGCTTCTGGAATATCTGCGGAATTGATTCATAAACAATCTTTGCCTTGCAGATCTCCATGGCCTTTGACTACATGGAGGTTGGCAGAAGCCGTGATAAGAAAGATTAGCAAGGCTCCAAACCAGAAGGGATTTCTTGGTTCCTAATAGGCCCACATTAAAAATAACTAAATAAATAAAAATGAGACCTAATTGGAGGGGCTCAGCCACGGTGACTTTTCAGAGCCCACGGAGTGGAAAGGTCATATGATATTTTCTATTGTCAAAATGGGGGCAGGGGGGAGATTTGGCCGCTTTCCTTTGCTGAAAAGTATTAAATGCTAAGCTACCATTTTAAGCTTGAAAGAAGTTTTCTCCATTTATGACAAACGCGCTGCGAGCTGCGGCCACTGCTGCCTGCCTCTGACTCTGGATCCCCCGAGCTCTAACTTAATAAACAGACAAAACTCTCACTCAGGGACAGCAATGCTGACATTCCAGCAGCGACAATGCCCAGGTTTGCTGGGAGCTGCCCAGAGCAGGCGATGCATGAATGACATGAAGCACTGGCAGCTCTGAGCAGACGCGGGAAGCCACGGGGCCCACTCAGGACACATCCAGCCTCCTCACTGGTGATGGAGGGACTTACCCGGCGACAGCAGCTTCCGGCAGCAGTCAGAGTGAGCGTTCAGGGCAGCTAAGTGTAAGGGGAACATGCTATGGATCCCACACCTGAGGAGGAAAGAAACAGCAGCTCACGGGAACAGCTCTCAGGGGCCGTGCAGATGGACGATGACCTTTCTAGGTGTTCTCTGCGCAAAGTCAAGCCCACACACCTGGCTCAGGGACTCTTGGCTGAAATAGTTGTGCAATTCTTCCACTCGAGAAGTATGATGCACTCATTTTCTACCTTAAAGTCATAAAGTCCTGGACCTAAATCAGAAGTAAAAGCCCCTAATAATGTGAAGAAAATGTTTCACATAAACATTATGTGACTCTTTACATTTAAAATTAACTTCCTTTTCTTTTTTCTTTCAGGTTAGCAATTTTATATTTCATTCATTCATTCATTCATTCATTCATTCATCTGTTCAACACTTTCTAAGTATGAGATACTATATTAAGTGCTAGAGCAGTGGTTCTCAACCTTCCTAAGGCTGCAACCCTTTCCTCATGTTGTGGTGACCCCAACCATAAAATTATTTTCGTTGCTACTTCATAACTATAATTTTGCTACTGTTATGAATCATAATGTAAATATCTGATATGCAGGATGTATTTCCATTGTTACAAATTGCACATAATTAAAGCATAGTGATTAATCACAAAAACAATATGTAATTATATATGTGTTTTCCGATGGTCTTAGACGACCCCTGTGAAAGGGTCATTTGACCCCCAAAGGGGTTGCGACCCACAGGTTGAGAACCACTGTGCTAGAGATAAGACAAACTCTCAACTTCGAAAGCAACCTGCTTTATTCCTTGAATTAATAAGCAAATATTTAGCTTTAGCCAGTTTGGCTCAGTGGATGAGCATTAGCCTGCAGACTGAAGGGTCCCAGGATTAATTCCGGTCAAGGGCACATGCCAGGGTTGCGGGCTCCATCCCCAGTGGGGGGCGTGCAGGAGGCAGCGGATCAATGATTCTCCCTCATCATTGATGTTTCTATTTCTCTCTCCCTTTCCCTTCCTCTCTGAAATCAATAAAAAGAAAAATAAACAAATAGTTATTATTGACCTACCATGTACCAAGCACTTCACTAAAAGTTAATAACGGCTGTATTATTGAAAATACCATTTTCGGTGAGAATAAAAACTGTTTGCCTTTTGCAGGTAAAACTCCATCTTCCTAACAGACCTTTGTCCTGCTCACGAGCCCACATCAGGATCCTGCCACAGAAGCACTGCTGGGAGTAACAAACCTGATCTGGCGTCTATTTCAAAAACCTAGCAGACGTTCCCTGACAGTGTTCCAGAAAGAATCTGTAAAAGCACTCTCAGATTCTTCCACCACAGCACAGTCCCCAGGATGTGCCCCTGGGGGGCAGGCAGCTTCTGATGGCTGCGCCTTCTGCCTCCAGGTCAAACCCTCCTCTTCCCATCACCTCTCCTCGAACATGGACCCCAGCCGGGTGCTGAACTGTAGTTCACAGTGAACAGCATCATGGGGAAGATCCTGTGCACTTACAAGCACTTGTATTGTGAGTGATCGTTGCTCATTACATCTCATTTTACTCAAATAGTAGATTTCAGACTTTGTAAGCCCTCTGCATAGCACAAGCGAGGTCATCTATTTACACCTGTGGGTACATTACCTAAGATTCCTCTCTGGCACTAGTGGCCCGTTTTCAGATTCTATGCATCATAAAAAAACGAGATTTGAATTTGGTTAAGTGTTGGATACATGAGCTTCATTTGCTATCTCAAAGGTTATTCTGATGTGTGTGGATGTGTGAGCGTATATCCGTATTCACAGATCTCTCGTGGTATTCAGAGTGTCGGCGAAATCGGAGTCTGCCGGCAACGAGCCCCCTCTCTTTCCATGAACGCTTCTCTCTATTGATGAGTGTTTTGGCTCGGTCTTCCCTCCGTCCCTTTCTTTTCCCTTCATGGAGATCTGCAGCCCAGGGTCTATAATAGCTGGCATCCATCAAGGCATGCAATTTGCCCGTCGTCCGGGCAGTGTCACGCACAGGAGCACTGCTTGTCATTGCCTCTCTCATCATTTACGAAAAAACCCTGCAAAGCAATTGCATCAGCGACAACCTGGATGCTCACAGAGAGGAAGAACGCGCCGGAGGAGGGGAGAGCTTCCTGTCTGTGCTGCTGTTTCTATTGCTCCCTCGTGATGCCAGTGAGACACGGCAATTTCTTCTCCTGGATAGCATGTTTTCAAAGCTTCTAACTACATGGAACTGCAAGCTATGAGGTTTTAGCTAACAGTTTAATTTATTTTGGGCAGTTGAGGCAAAAATATATGATTAAATATCTCTGGACATTTCCAAGAGGAAGATGGGTAGAATATTTTCTAGGGTGGTTTTAAATTCCTGAAAAAACATGAAATCCGAGATTGGATTGTGCAAGATTTCTTTGAGACTTCTTCATTTTATATACATATATAAAATATTAAAATATAAATATGTTAAAATTTTATATTATATACTATATGCATGATATATTTATATATACAACACAATGGATATGTGTACAATATATAATGTGTTATGTATCTTCTATAATATTAGGATTTATTTTATAAAGAAACATAAAGATATATATTTATATAAAATAATACAAGCAAGTGAATTGATGAAAATAGCGTAAGAAAACATAAAAAGTGTAAGTGATAACATGACAGCAACAGGATTGTTTAATAGGATTATATTCTATAATCTTCATGATCAATATTTCCAATCAACCATACCACTTACACTGTCTTTAGATAATTCATTACGTTCTACATTAGCTAAATTACCTCTCTCTTTTTTTGCTGTTACTTATAAACCTGAGAAGATAAGGGCGGGAGAACTCCTAAAATGTCTAGCAAAAATACTGTTTGGTTTATATTTTTTATTCCATAGTTAATAAAAAGTCACTACCTCAGTGCAGGTTTTAAAAACATTAATTTGGACTCAAGTTCTACTGGCATTTGAACTTGAATATGCTGCTATGGTTCAAATAGGAAAACTAAAAATTAGGCCGACATTGGAAAGAACATAAAAGTAGAATTCAGAATCTCTGAATCACTTCAGAAATGATTCGTGCGTTTCAAAATAAAATTCCTCCTTTATTGCTATTCAACAAGACTGCTCATAAAGGAAGGACTGTAAAACCTTTAGCAGAAAATGAGGAGTCGACTGTCTTAGAGGTCAAATAAGAAGGACCACTCTTACATCATCAGGCCTACATCCAGGAAGGCCAATCACTGAGGGTGTCAGCTAACACCAAACTTAACAATTTGTACGTGGCAGGAAAGAGGCGACCAATTCCAGCTAAATGGCTCCATTTATTTGACCAGACATAAAATTAATGGAACGCATTTGTATTAGCTATTTCTAATTCAGCTGTAAGCTGGTGTCTCCTACCCAGTTACTTCAGGATAAATGAGGCCAGAACAATTTGCAGACAGCTCTCCGGAATGAGCAAAGGACTTCTGCACCATTGGAATATCAATTCTTTCAAGTGTTCGCCTTGGCATCAGAGAGACATGGCTATCCCTCCCCATTTCTAGTCTTTTCTAGAACCTTCCCTTAGTCGGGGGTGGGGAACGGGGCCCGCAAAATCATTTGGTCTGGCCCCGCCAAGGCAACTGCAGAAGGGACTCGAAATTCAATAAATCTAGGAGCTTTTTTCATAGCAACATGAATCTATATTAAGTGAATTACAGTGAGCGAATGATGTTAGAAATACCCAAATGCGGTTAAGGGAGGGGACGGGGTCAGAAACTTTGAGTTTGAGTTTAGTCTTGCTACGTGCTGGCTGTTTGGTCTTCAGCAAGGACAAAGCAGTTCTCTCATCCAGAAAATAAAGATCATGGCGTCGCTCTTTCTTCTTTCTTACCTCTCTGAGCTCTAGAGCACGGTCTGAGGTTGGACTCTGGGCTCGTGTCCCTTTATGGGGGCTCAGAGCCCTTTGGTTTTCTCCTCTAACTTTTTCAGGTTTGGGGCGCTTATCTCTAGGGTTTTCATTTCTCTTCCTCCTGACCAACTGTGCTCACTTCTTGTTCTGTCTTAACTGCAGCAGCATTCGGGATATCGTCAAGCAGGTAACTGTTCTGAAACCCACCCCACCTCCCCAGGCCATTTACATTTGGCTCACGCTCAAGCAAGGCTTTTTATCCAGTTGTACAAAATTGTCAAGTAAAATAAGATTCCTAACAATATGCTGCCCTCATATTGTTCTGCCCCTGAAAATTGTTATGGTTACCCACAGTCTCTGTGATCAAGGCTACACTCTTGATTCAAGTATCTAAGGCCCTCTGTAATCTGGTTCTACTACATATTACTAACAAATAATAGTTAACATTTAATGATAGCTTATTTTGTGATAGGCACAAATAACATGGATTATCTTGTTTCATAACCTTAGCAGATGTACGTATATAATCCATACAGCTCTTAACCTATTCCAGAGAGCTTTACTAGTAATTAAGTCCTTTCATCTTTATAAACAAACCAATGGGTAAGTACTATGATTACTCCCACTTTTCAAATGAAGCAACCAAAGCACAGAGAGATTGAGCAATGGGCTCAAGGCCACACAGCTCACAAGCAAAGCAGCTTGGCCTGGAGCCTGGGCAGTGACAGCCTGGGCCCCGCCTGGGACATGGCGCTGCCTCTAGGCAGAGCATGGCATCCCCACACACACACTCCTTGAGCCCACACTCTTCCCAGAACTGTACCCTTTTCATCTTTTGTTCCGGCGTTCCTCTCTGCTTGGGGTCTGCCACCCTCTGCCTACCTAAACCTCATCGCCTGAAGGCTGTTCTGAGCAGTTGGCCACACAGGCGCTCTCCACTTCTTGTCCACACTCTAGGGCATACTGTCTACACCAAACATCTTGCCACCTACGTCCTGCTTCATTTGGAACTTTACTATATGCTAACTTGCATGGTTCTTTGTCGTGGGCAGGCCTTGGGCCTCCAACACAGTGATGACCTCCTTGAAAGTACCAACCATAAACTTCTGAAATTCCCCACAGCGCCTGGCCTCGTGCCAGCTGGTCCAGATGCCCTATACATCCTTGTTTGAAGTGAAGTGTGAAATGAGGTCAACTCCCCCTCCCTATGTAGCACATTTACTCAATTGGACCCTATAATTACATAATTAAGATTAAGCAAGCATCCTGAATAAATTCTAAATCTGTCCACGTATGATTCATTTTCCCTGCTGACCTGACATGGAACACGGGGAAGAACTGCAGAATATTACAATGCAAAGTTAGGAATGAAGCTCAAGTCTCCTTAATTAAAACCACTGGAATAGGCCTCTTATTGATGTGGCTGAAAAATTAATTTGGTTCTTCCTTACATCTGTCATTAAAAGTCACTTAATTTCATTCAAATTTAATTTGTCCTTAGCATAACGGTACAGATCCACCTGAAGCTGGATAAACGGGCCTATCTACCGCACAGCAGAACCCTTTTGGCAGTATTTCCACACGTGGCAATCATTCCACCGCATTTGGCAGTCACCTACTTGGCTGTGTCCGCTCCGCTGGTGATTAGGGTGTTAATCAAAAGCTCGTGGCCATATCTTGCAGCCACATGGAGAGGAGTGTTGCCGTCCTTATCCACACAATCGATTTCTCCTCCTGGAAAAGATTTTTAACACAGGAGATAACGTAAGGACCCAGGCTGATCTGATGCTACCTTCTCTGCTAGGCACTCGTGGTGATCAGATGTTGATTGCTTCCCTACTCTGTGCATCTCTCCCCCGAAGTAGAGGAACACTTTTCCATCTGCAGGAGGGGGATTAGCAAAGCTGCATGGAGGGAGGTCTGTTAGAAACGCTTCTGAAAAAGCTTTCCATATTGTCACATGAGGGCCTTTCATCTTACAATCAGATCCCTGCTCTGAAGGGACAATATAATCAAATCCTATTCAATGTAATTCTGAAGACATACTCATTTTCTACTGTACCTGCTGAAGTAAAGATCTATGTAGGCCTTATACTAAAGCTAAAGAACCAAGGCGAATAGAGAGTTCAGGAAAATATTTTATGTAGTTTGGTTGTCTAATTTAAAATATGATGAGTAAAATAAGTAAAAGCATGAACTGAACTGAACTGAAAATATATTTTTAAAAACTATCACATTCATCATCTGTAGTCCACAATAATATAGTATTTCCTTTATATTTTGTCTTTTTCCCCAACTTTTTCTTTTACTTCATTTCTTTTTCTGCTTTTTATATACGTATATGTCAATATGATTAGTCTGTTTTTTCATGTATTTGAGGAACCACTTAAAAATCAGTTAGACATATGACATTTCACCATAAGAGCAAAGACATGTTCCTACATATCCATAATTCCATCATTATACCCAAGAAATTTAACATTGATATAATTTTATGTAATGAACAGTGCATGTTCCAATTTCTCCAATTATACCAAAAATGTGCTTAAGAACTATTCTTAAAAATTCCAGGATCCGATCTAAAATTCTGACAGCATTTGGTTGTCCTGCCTCTTTGTTTTCCTTTAATCTACGAAAATCTTCTTGCCTTTATTTATTTTTTAGTCTCTCGTGTCACTGGTACTTTGGGAGGCCAAGCCAGGCGTCCTGTAGAGTGTTGTATTCTGGAATGGCCTGATGATTTCCTTATTACTAGATTCAGGCTACACATTGTGTCAAGAATACCCCCGAGTTGATGCGCATCCCCCCCTCCATCTCCTCAGCAGACACGTAAGGTCAAGTTATTCCATTACTGGATGGCGCATCTGAGAAAGTTCTAAAAATGGATGAATGCACAACAACGTACTTAGTGCATGTTTCAAAAGTCACAGTTGGATTTTTACAAAGCCCCACTCTCACTTCTATCCCTTCCACTTCATCCTCAACCACATCCTGTAGAAATCACCTGCACTGGTTTGGGTTTATGTTTCCTGTGTTTCTCTGCAAAAATAAGCATCAGGCTCTTTCACACGCAGCTCTTTTCCTTTTCACTTAATGCCTCCTGGAATTCACCTCCGGAGACCACTTCTTGGGGATCTTCCTCTCCTCTGTACAGCTTTTGGGTTTCCATTGCCCGGATGTACCCGTTCACTGCCCCAGTCTCGTATGGATGAGCGTTTAGGTTGTAAATATTATTCTTGCTATTATCAAGAACGCTGTAGTGAATAACCTATGGCTTCGTATTTGTTGGGTATATCATCCGGGTAAATTCCTAGAAAGGGGATTTCTAGGTCACGGGGTAAAAGAAAGTGTGGTTTTGCCAAATTTGCCTCGTTAGGCCCTATGCAATTTTGCAATTTCTGCAGCAAGGTATGTGTGCCTTTACCCCACAGCCTATGAGTACTGTCAAGCTATGAGTACTGTCATGTGATGGGTGAGAACTGGCAGCTCAGTGTAGTTTTCACTTGAATTTCTCTTATCAGGAAAGTTGGGCATCTAGTCATATATTGAAGAACCATTTGTTTATCTTTTCCTATGAACTATTTGTCATTGCCTTTTGCCCATTTTTCTAAGTCTGTGTGTGTGTGTGTGTGTGTGTGTGTGTGTGTATAAGGGGGTTCTTTTATCCCTTGATTTTCAGGGCTCTTAAAGTATTTAAGAGATTACCCATTTATCAGTAATACATGTTGCAAACATTTTCCCCCTGGAATTTCATTTGTCTTTGGTGTGTCACCCTAAAAAATATTTTTGTAATGTACCAATTTTTCATTGTACTTAGATTTTAAGTTGTAGTTAGAAAGGCTTTACCCACATCCTGGCAATAAAGAAATCAACGCGAAAATATCTGCCCATCAAATCTTTCTAACTGTGGTACAGTGCTTATTTTTTAAAACCAGTTATTCCTATCAACTATAACCATTTCTGTAAAAATAAAAGTAATGATTATATATCTTTATACTGTGCATGCATATACATTCTTAAATACAGAGAGAAACCTGGAAGTGTCACCGAACTGTCAATAGAAATTCTTGAGATGGCGGTGGGGAGACATACTGGTGAATATCATGGGCAATCTGGTGATTTAACTTTGACAATGAGCATGTCCTAATTTTATAATCAGTTAAAATAAGAAAATAAAATTAGATAGGATCTTCTAGGGACTTAACAGATTGTTTACTATGATCCAAATTTAGAAGCATCCAACTTAGATCAATCATTTTTATGACATGATGTAATCTTGGGGACAGGCAGCCAGCTGGTCTCCATGGATACCTCAGAGCAATCCTGGTACATGTACTTGTCTAAGAACGGCCTACCGAGGTCGGCCTGGAGGGTCTACCCCTGGAGCTGGTCGGGAGATGAGGGGGGCAGGCCCCCAGACTGCAGAGAAACCTCACCCTGAACACACACTGAGTCACTCAGGTCCTTCACAGCCAAGAGCCGGCAAACCTTTCTCAACAAATGTGAGAGCTGCGCGTTTACCAGCCTCAACGATGCCAAAAACTGGGTAGAAGAAAGAAGAGTGAAACATATTGAAAAGGGCGGAAAAGAGAGGCTGAGTCGATAGTTTCCTCCAGTTGTTGTGCTATCATTTAATAAGTCCATTTAAAACTGTAAAAACATAGACACTTCCACGCATGCTTTTATTGTCATTTAAAATACAAGTAAAAAAATAAAATAAAGCACATTTCAAGAAAATATAATTTGGGTAGTTGTTATCCAGCAATGTTTTATAATAAAATAGGTCCTCTAGATGAATGAATTTCCATTTTCCATTCATCCAAACCTTTCCATTTCTACCTGAAGACCTTAAAGATGTTCTTGGAATGCAAATTAAATGCCTTTGCTATTCATTTAAAGGTTGCAAGTTAAACACTGGTCATCTGTCCTGGATCGTTAGTGAGGAAAAAAAGTATCTGCGTCTAGAAGAACGCACTCGCGCACTCGTCTGAAGCTAGTTCCATCGCACACGCAAGGACACTCAGCTCACCAAGTTGCCTCAGAAGAACTGTGAGCCAAAAGGTCAAAAACCTCACGATGACTCATCCTAGCCCAGCATTTGACTCTTGCTTTTCAAACTCTATGTATTTGTACAGCTTCCTGAAGAAAACAGCTGCTTTGAACTTTTGCAACCTACCGAGAGGCGTCTGAGCAGCGGCCTGGGGCCAGCGGCTGGACTCAGCGCCTCCTCATTCCCTGGTGGGTTTCATTCAGGTCCTTCCCCCTCTGCCTGTGACGACAGAGCTTCAGGCAACAAACTGCGACTGAACAGCAGAGGCTGTCTTGCTAACCAACTAAAAAAATCAATGGCTGCCTTACCGAAGCTGGATAATTCTGGAAAAACAAAGTGATTATAAAGAAGAAATAACCCTGACTAGAGAGCAGAGAAATGCCATAGGAAGTCCCACCCCAGAGGACTGAACAGAACAACAAACACACACAGCATGCTCCTCGCAGCCTGCCTGCAGGTCCAGGAGCCAGCACTGTCCCCACGTGAGCCGGCGCCCGGCCCCCTGGCCCAGTGACCCCTCCAAGGCGCACACAGGCCCTGCGGGTGTGAGGGTGGGAGCCTCCGTACTTTCCCAGAAGGAAGCCAACCAACCGGAGGGAAGAACAGAGCTGCTTATTCTCCTCCCTGAGGACACTTTGTAAAATGTCAAATGGAAGCACTCGCAGTTCTCACGTGGGGGATGAACGCAAAGAATTCTCAGCGGGGAGGAGAATGAGATCATCCTATCTCAGGGACAACTCACTCCAAATGTAAGCGACTCCTGGACTAAATATAATTCAAGTCAAAAACAACTTTAATGTCCTTGTTTATCCAGAAAACACGTAAGTATCATGGTTAAAAATTCAGTCTCTGGCCCGGCCAGCGTGGCTCAGTAGTTGAGCGTCAACCTATGAAGCAGGAGGTCACAGTTCAATTCCCAGTCAGGGCACATGCCTAGTGGGGGGCATGCAGGAGGCAGCGGTCAATGGCTCTCTCTCATTGATGTTTCTATCTCTTTCTCTCCTTCTCCCTTCTTCTCTGAAATCAATAAGAAAAAATATACATTTTTTAAATTCAGTCTCTGATGTTAGACTGCCTCAGTTCCAATCTCTGTGCCTTCACATACCTGCCAAATATCCTGGCAAAAGCCATGCCCTCTCTGCCTCAATCTCCCCATCTTTGAAATGGAGCTCTTCCTCATGGGGTGGTTGAAAGGATTTGTGTGCACATCTAAGCCAAGCCCCCAGCACAGTGTGAACTAGACCAAAGGTAGCTTTGGAATTATATATAACTAGATGCCCGGTGCACAAAATTCATGCACTTGCTGGGTTCCTCAACCCGGCCTCTGTCCTCTCGCAGTCCAGAAGCCCTCGGGGGATGTCTGACTGCCAGCTTAGGCCCGCTCCTCAGAGGGAGCAGGCCTAAGCCGGCAGTCAGCCATCCTTAGTGCTGCTGTGGAGGCGGGAGAGGTTCCCGCCACCACTGCTGCACTCGCCAGCTGTGAGCCCAGCTCAGGGCTTCTGGCTGAGCAGAGCTCCCCCTGTGGGAGCACACTGACCACGAGGGGGCAGCTCCTGCATTGAGTGTCTGCCCCCTGGTGGTCAGTGTGCATCATAGTGACTGGTTGTTCCACTGTTTGGTCGATTTGCATATTAGCCTTTTATTATATAGGATGGACTACATATTCTAGTCCCTAAGTCCCCATCATTTGAGACCCCTGGACCCCATCCAACGCACAAGCAAGATGGCAGTCCAGCCAAGAATGAGACAGGCTCTGAAACAAAACTCCTTGGTCACAGAGGACAAGAAATGGGGTCCCTTTCAGGTCTCATCCCAACTCAGACGTCTAGCAAGGATGTGCAGAGAGGGCTTGGAAGTCTTCAGGTCCTCAGGGACGGCTTTTGGAGAAGTCAACACAGCGGGTCCCGTGCCCCGTCCGCTGGGGGGACTGTTGTAAGCAACTAGCATAGCAGAGGGCAGGTGGGTCTAGCCAGGACTCAAAGGAGAAGGCCCGTACGTCCGGCCCACAGGATGCACATGAGGAGGGCAGAGCTTACAAGGTGAGAAACTACTCTCTCTGGTCTGGTCACTGGTGCTTGAAGTGGCTCTAACAGGGAACAAAGTTTTTATGCCACAGAGCTAAGGCCCAGTTCATTTGAATTACTTCTTAAAAATAAACTATACCAAATTTCTCCCTAGTTTTGTTTATTTTTTAAGGCAGGGTCACTGCTCTGAGAAATGCAGTGGGGCAGGGAAACTGATCAAAAGAGAGACACGAGGGTCCTGCCACCTCCCCTGTCCACGCCCGGCAGAATAAAACCACCAGCGCGGTCCTCTCACTAAAGCGAATGTCCAAGGCCACATATGTCAATTACAAAGAGCGAGAGTGTGCCGTTAATCTTCATTTTCCCTCCCCGGGCTCAGTGGGACTGGTTAGGACGGCCTTTCCCCGACCGTCTCCCTGAAATGCTAGACATGTCCTTTGCTTTGCTGCAGGTATTCTGCTTTCTAAGCATCATTTCCCTGGCTGGTCTTCCGTCCAAATGTCAAACGACGGTTTGGTTTTACGACCTGAGTGCCTACGCTCTAACTCAGTGCCACGAATAATTCAAGTGCATGTCATCAAAGTCCTGACAGGTGAGAGAAAAACAGGTCCAAGAAAATTGATGCCAGCACTGTGAGAAGGAGAAATGTGGGTCAGCTAAAGATAGCGGAGGAGCTGCGGATTCACCCAGAACGTGAGCTAAAATCTGGGCTAACCCCGTGAGGGGGGTGGGGGTCGTGGTTTTGGTGTGTGTTTTTTTCAGTTGTCTCTAAGATTTGCTAAGATTGCCAAACCAGTTTGGCTCAGTGGATAGAGCATCAGCCTGTGGACTCAAGGGTCCCGGGTTCGATTCCGGTCAAGGGCATGTACCCTGGTTGTGGGCACATCCCCAGTGGGGGGCATGCAGGAGGCAGCTGATCGATCTCTCTCAACGATGTTTCTAACTCTCCCTCTCCCTTCTTCTCTGTAAGAAATCAATAAAATATATTTTAAAAAAAAAGATTTGCTAAGATAACAGACTTGGGCTGTGAAGGTCAACCCACTCAGGTGCCGGCCACCACCCACAATGTGAAGCGACCCTCCGAGGTGCTCTGGCTGAGGAGCCAGCCCATTGGCTCACGTAGGCTGCTGCTGTAAGCCTGGGAGATTACTAGATCATGTGACTTCCCAAGGTCTCTATCAAGCATGTGATTGTTAGGATTCTTCACATCGCCTACTCACGTGCTTTTTTCCGGGGTCACCTCATCGTTAGCTACCTTTGCCCAAGCAGCCCAATGCGATTCACCTTAGGGGACGATGATGAATTCTGAAACTTGAAAATAGCTCTGACTTCCCGCTAGGAAATGTGTAGTACTTATTTGTATCAGTTTTTGAGTAAAAGTGCAGGATCTTGAGCCTGTGGAGGTATGTATGCTAGTATCATGTCTAGTTTCAGAACTCACATGCTCTTTGACTGACGGGGAACGGACTGTGAAACTTAGTGGCTTTATGTTGTCCCGCCTGAGCTGGCTGGCGCTGTGACGTCCGAGGAAGAGCTTTTAGCAGAGCACATCAAAGGCAACTGCAAATCCGAGCGCAATGAACTCTAAAACCGCATCACCTTTCACGTTCAGACGACTGACGGCCCATCTCATGGGACCAGAAAACTGTTCAAACAGGAGAGTGCGGAAGAGGCCTCTTACCGTTCTGAATGAGGGTCTGCGAGCGTGTGAACCTGCCGTGGACGGCTGTCATGTGCAGCGGGCTTTTGCCATCTTTACTCTGAAAAAGAAGGGAGAGAGAAACAATGGACCAGGGGCATGGGTCCGAGACCTCCCTACGGACACTGCTGGTGATGTCCTGACAATGTCCATTTAAATTTTTTTTAAGTATAATAAAAAAATGACAAGAGGCAAAAGATAATTTTGAAAGTGAGTGATAAAGTGTATGTTATACCTCAAGTTGCTGCATAACATCACGTCGTAAAGAAGCCGGGAGAAGTGAATATTTTAGAGAAGAAATGCAAAATGTCTAGTTATACCGACAGTTTTTAAACGACTCTGTTTCAAATGGAATAAATCCTCCAAAATGTTTTCATCTCCTGTAACCTACTAGTTGAAGGAAGTTTTCTCCAAGGACTTGTTTTCCCCCAACTTTTATCTATAGTCCATGAAAAAAAAAAGAAAAAAGACAAATGGTGTGTTACCTCGCTTGGCCCTGAGTGACTGGGCATAGCCCAAACTGCTATAAATCTCTGCAACTCTCAGGACCAACCTAGAATCCTCCACCATCCCTCCCTTCCAACTCCAGAGGAAAACTCTTCTGACTGTTGCAAAAGAGAAAGGCTGAATTCACAGCATCGAGGCATGCAACTGTCCAGCCAACTGCCCCTTTACCCATCACCTGGAAACTGGTGTATTGAATTCATACACCTCTTCATTGTTCAAGATATAAGTGATGGGACTTCCTGACACAGGTTAAGCCAAAACATAAAAAATGCAGAGCATCTATATACTGATCATCATTACACCAAATACCCAAATCCCACACATTTAATTAAGAAATAGTCATTCATAGAATTTCTTAAAATAGTAACAACCCCCCCCCTCCAAATTATTAGTTATTTTAGACCAAAGGTATCCTCAACAGAATGCCTTCTTTCATTCAAGTATTGTAATAATAATAATAATAAACACACTATGTCATTTTATTTTTCTAAGTCTCAGCGAAAACACTTTCCTTAAGCGTGAGGTTAAAATATGTGGTTTCTAAAATGCAAGCTCATTTTAGCGATGCATCCCATATACTGTTCCTTTAAAACGGCTCTTGGTTTAAAAAATTCTACAGCGGAACACAAATCATTACTTAAAGAAGTGTTTCTCAGAGTGAACCGAGGACTACCTGCGCCTGATCATCGGGTTGCCTGTGATCAATGTGAACTCTGTACCCAAACCCAGGCCTGCCGAGCCGGAATCGGGGCGACGGGCGCCCCACTTGTGACCTGCAGAGCACCCTGCTTTCCACTGTGGGCTGGAACCGCTCGCAGAACCACAGGCTTGAACAGAGCAGTTGACGTCTGTTCCTCAGAGAGGAAGCAGGGAGCTACGCCCAGCCTGGGCCACGGGAGGAGCGCATCAGAGTGGGAGCTGCCTGGCGGTGACAGTTCACAGGCAGCCGCAGAAAAAGAACTGATAGCTCTTTCCCCGCCTCGCAGCAGTGTCACCCGAGTCAGAAAGGGCTGAGGGAGAGAGAGGGAAAGGCTTCCTGAGAGGGGATCTTTAGAGGACAAGCAGCAGCAACCAGGACAGTGAGGACATGTGGCCACCCCGACCACGTGTGCGCAGCCCAGGAGGCTCCCCAAAGCTCTCCGACTCCCGAGCCTGGGCCCTCTGGCGGAGGTGCAGCCAGTTTAAAGCACCGGACCTGGGGAACCACTTGGGAATAAGGATTTAAAACACCCCCCTGCACCCCCATAAAAACATGACAGTCCAAGACGCCTAGGGAGAGGACAGAAGTTGCAAACTGACATGAACTTGTCCCTAGGTGGCGCTATTTCTTTAAATTTTGCTCTAATATTGTCTCTTAAATTTAATATGAAAACATAACTAATTCGTGATTCATTAAACACATAAAGCCATGGGTATTTCCGTGTTTAGATGGTATCTTTGTACATATTTAACTGAGCACTTTTCCACGCCTAGAGAACAGCTTAAAGCCTTTCCCGAGGCGTTCCCCCGCCCCACCCCCCCCCAATCTGGTGGTCACCAAGCAAACTGCGGCCAGTGGGCCGGAGCAGAAGCAATGGGCCTGCAGAGCGTCATCTACCAAGAGGGTCCATTTCAGGGACAGCAGCGCCATACCCGCCTCTCCCTTGGCGTGTGTGTGCCTTTAGTAAAGGGACAAATAAATAGGCTGACCGACCAAGGTCAGGAAAACCCAAAGGACAACGTGATGGTCAGTGGTGATGCCCATTCAGGTTTATCCTTGTCGATCTTTGCCCGGGTTCGTCTACCACTGAGTCCAGGCCGCTGCTGACTGTCCTTTCCACACAGGGAAATGGGTGGCAGGGGGGCGGGGAGGTGACAGGAAACATTACAAGTCACCTTAGGGCAGTTCTGTTCATATGGTATGAACTTCAAAAAGCCCTTGACCACCCATGAAGGTCAAAAGGACACTACTTTGTAGCTCGCCTTGCGAGCTGGAACCCGGAGTCCTTGGGCTGAGAGGAGGGGCCCTGCCTGAGACATGGTGCACATGGGGGCTGGCTGTGGCTGCTGATGTTCTGAGAACTTCTGAGATGAAAGACCCCTGCATGCTCGAAGGAGAGGTCATGCGCAGTTCCTGTTTACTCACAGCTTTGCTTTTCCAAATCTTATTCTTACTGTCTAGGCTCCTTCCGATTTCCAGATGCATTTTCCCATCAGATTGAGGGCTCGGAAAATTTTATTTGGGGGACTTATTTCATTAAGCAAACAGCTCTTCTACTGGCTCAGAGTGCAGTCATAAATCATGAAGAAAAATGAATTGAGGATTAAGGATATTTTATGGCAAATCTGAATACTCCTTCGGGGCAGAATTCAGCACCATCTGAGGAAGACTGGTCCTTGGCCTAAGGGAGTGTTTCCCTCTTCCTGACCCTCTTCCTCAGAAATCTGTTCATTCTCTTCTTCCGCTCCTAATGCCACCCTTCCTCATCATCGAACTCCTCACAAAACCTTCCCTAAGCACACAGACATTCTCCTCCCCGGGAACCTGCAGGCTTTGTGCTCTTTGTGGTATATATGCTGCCTCCCAGAGTGACCAGCGCAGTGTCCTACTAAAGGCCAATAGCGCCTGTAGGCCACAACACTGCGCAGGGGGAGGGGGCCAGATAGAACCAGAAACTCCCAAGGGCTTCCTGAGTCAATGGAAGAACCTTCGATGGATTGCTGTATGAACCTTCGATGGCTTGCTGTATGAACCTTCCATGGATTGCTGTATGAACCTTCGATGGATTGCTGTATGAACCTTCAATGGATTGCTGTATGAACCTTCGATGGATTGCTGTATGCACCTTCGATGGATTGCTGTATGAACCTTCGATGGATTGCTGTATGAACCTTCCATGGATTGCTGTATGAACCTTCGATGGATTGCTGTATGAACCTTCAATGGATTGCTGTATGAACCTTCGATGGATTGCTGTATGCACCTTCGATGGATTGCTGTATGAACCTTCGATGGCTTGCTGTATGAACCTTCCATGGATTGCTGTATGAGCCTTCGATGGAGTGCTGTATGAACCTTCAATGGATTGCTATATGAACCTTCGATGGATTGCTGTATGCACCTTCGATGGATTGCTGTATGAACCTTCGATGGCTTGCTGTATGAACCTTCCATGGATTGCTGTATGAGCCTTCGATGGAGTGCTGTATGAACCTTCAATGGATTGCTATATGAACCTTCGATGGATTGCTGTATGCACCTTCGATGGATTGCTGTATGAACCTTCGATGGCTTGCTGTATGAACCTTCCATGGATTGCTGTATGAGCCTTCGATGGAGTGCTGTATGAACCTTCAATGGATTGCTATATGAACCTTCGATGGATTGCTGTATGCACCTTCGATGGATTGCTGTATGAACCTTCGATGGCTTGCTGTATGAACCTTCCATGGATTGCTGTATGAACCTTCGATGGATTGCTGTATGAACCTTCAATGGATTGCTGTATGAACCTTCGATGGATTGCTGTATGAACCTTCGATGGATTGCTGTATGAACCTTCGATGGATTGCTGTATGAACCTTCCATGGATTGCTGTATGAGCCTTCGATGGATTGCTGTATGAACCTTCAATGGATTGCTATATGAACCTTCGATGGATTGCTGTATGCACCTTCGATGGATTGCTGTATGAACCTTCAATGGATTGCTGTATGAACCTTTGATGGATTGCTGTATGAAGTATTATGTCTTTATTATTTTATCACAAATAAACTAATATTACAAGGTCAAAGCCACGGTCAATCTAAGCAAAATGAGGGATTGTCAAATGCACGCAGGGCACATATCCTTCCTCCTCTTCCAATATTCTTGCCATTGCCCATGAAGACATTGCTTTTAGTGTTTTGTGAGGATGGAGGAAAACAAAGTGAACGTGGGAGTGGGTATTGGCCATATTTCAATATGTGATTTCCCTCAAGCTTTAGAAAATCTAAACAAATACAAACTGTCTTGCAATCTACAAACACTTTCAAAAGCCAGGAGCAACGTGGTAGAGAGAGATAACCACTTCAATTAGAAAGCTACCTCCAGAGTCAGACAGAATGGCTCCACGGAAATGTCAGATGATCTATGATCCCAGAAGCCATCTGGAATAGCAAAGGGGGACCCGAGAGAATGAGGAAACCAAGAGGATGTACACAGAGTGGATGTAGGGAGGTTGAGGGGAAAGGCTAGATTTAATTCAAAATCCCACTGGCATAGGTTTGAGAACACATAAACCCAAGCCTCAGGTTTTAAAAATGCTATTTCCTATATTCTACTGATGATCAGCAGTCCACAGGACAAGTTAATGTTAAATCTAATAACTATGCCTCCAGGTCCGTTTTATGGGGAAGAGGAGGCTGCCATACACCGATGCTCCATTCACAGCTGAAGCCAATGGGAACTGTACAGTGGGAACTGCCACTGTCAGGGACCTGGGAGCAGTAGGTAGGTGTGTCCTCCTAGCCCCGGGATAAGCACGCTGAGTATCAGTCACATGTTTACAGAGGTGATTGCAAACCTTTGAATTAATTGAATGGAGGTTGGTGAAAAGAGAAACTTCATTTAATTTCAATAATTTTTCTTTCTTTGGGGGCTTTAAGGGTGTCCCTCAGACACCAGGATGGCAATGTCCACAAGCCTAGGGACATCGAAGGTCTGGCCACCTGTTAGCCTCTCACCAGCACACCCTCCGACTCCAATCCCACACTCCCACACGATGACTCTCCCTGACCTTGGGCTGCAGTTCCTTAATCTCTTCAATGCCCCCAAAGACCTTCCTCTTACCTCCACTGAGGACCTTGGATGGTCTCTGTTTACAAGATCTAGAACTCTGACATTCTCTGCAGCTATTCTACTTTTCCGTTTTTACTTGCTTTTCTTCACGAAGACTCTACACTCCCCTCTACTTCCTTCCTTTTCTCTAACTCTTTCTTTTTCCTTTTATAATTGATTTTAGAGGGAGGGAGGGAGGGAGGGAGGGAGAGGGAGAAGGAGAGAGAGACACTAAGAGTGCCATACCTGGATGTTAACATCCGCCCCGTTGTTGACTAACAGCTCAAGACACAAAGCACCGTGGGTGGAGGCAGCAGCAAAATGCAAAGGTGTGAAGCCACTGTTGTTGGGCTGGTTCACGTTAGCACCGTAGTCAGTCAGCTCGTTGACTACCGCGTCCTGCCCGTTGTAGCAGGCCAGGTGGAGCGCCGTGTTCCCATAGACGTTGATTTCATCGATCTGCAAATGAGTGCGGGACAGAGGGGTTAAAACCCCTGCAGCCAATTCACCCCATCTCCCACAAAAAAGGCTGTGCCAGAGAAAGAAAAGGTCCATCTGTCAACGTAATTGTTCAGCGCTCACTCCTGCCCCATCGTGGTCACCCTGGAAATGCTTGTCACCGAGGTAAAGAGCAGCAGAAAGACAGACAGTGAACTGGGGAGGAAGAGTGAGTGAGAGGTTTCAACTAGTGGACAGACAGTTGTGGGCTATGGAAGGGATTAACAAGTGAAGGGCAAAGCTGCCTGGAATGCCAGAGAAGTGACTCAGGGGAGTGAGAAAGAAGCCTGGCCAGCTGGCGTGGCTCAGTGGTTGAGAGTCAACCTATGAACCAGGAGGTCACGGTTCTATTCCCAGTCAGGGCACATGCCGGGTTGTGGGTTCGATCGCTCGTGTGGGGTGTGTAGAAGGTAGCTAATCAATGATTCTTTCTCATCACTGATGTTTCTATCTGAAATCAATAACAGTATTTTTAAAAAGAAGAAAGAAGTCTGAAACTCACAGTGAGCCCGAAGCAAAGGAGTGGGAGGTGCACAGGGAGGTGCTGTGGAGCTGGAGCTCAGGAGTTGGGCTCAGAAGCCACCCTGGGTGTGGCTGCCGCCTGCACCTCACAAGGCCGCATCCTATAGCAGGACCATGAAGCTGGCCTGGGTTAGGCCATGGCTCTGTCTTCCTGCCCCGACTGCTGGGTTTCACCCTCAAGGTCTCAGTTTTGCAACTTGGTTTTCCTTTCCTGCTCTGCTGCCTGCAGGGGCTGGGCTGACCTCTCCAGCTCAGCACTGAACCCTTCTGCTGCTGTCCCTGCCACTCCCTCATTTCTGCTCGTAAGCCACCAGGTAGAAGGCCAGATTGCGAAGGTGGGATGGGGAGTCCTAACCAGTCTTTAAAATTGACTGATTAATGTGCATTTTATACACATAAAACTATTTCACTATCTATTGTGACACAGAAAGTTAGTCTGTTTTCCGGTAATTAGATGCCCCCATCGCCCTCCATCAGTTAGTTGCCCATTGAAAGTCAAAGACAGGGTACTAGTAAGAAGGGTATTTTTCCTCTTGAATTAAAATGGAAACAGGATTTAGTCCTGGACGGATAGCTCAGTTGGTTAGAGCATTTTCCCCATACGCCAAAGTTGTGGGTTCCATCCCCCGTCAGGGCACATACAAGGATTAACCAATCCTAAATAATAAAAGCCTAATATGCTAAGTGTCCGGTCATCTGGTTGGCCATTCAACCAATCAAAGCGTAATATGCAAATGATATGCTAAAGCCACTCAACTGATTGCTATGACATGCACTGACCACCAGGGGGCAGAGAATTGACTGGTCAAACAGTCGCTATGATGTGCACTGATGTGACCACTGTGGGAAAGATGCTCTGACTGGTAGTTTAGCTTGCTGCTGGGGTCTGGCTGATCGGGACTGAGCGAGATGGGCCGGACACACTCTGAAACCCTCCCGTGGTCCCTCCCCAGCTGACCAACCTCCCACATCTAGGCCTGCACCCTCTCGTAATCCAGTCTGAGGGGTCTCCCCCCACCCCAGAGTGCATGAATTTTGTGCACTGGGCCTCTAGTGAATAGATAAATGGGAAGAATAACAAATCAATGCTTCAATGTTTTCTCTCTCATTCTCCTTCCTTCTCCAGCCCCTCCACCCGCTTTCCTTTTTCTCTCTCATAAATGAATAAGTAAAAATAAAATGCAAACAGGGATTAATTTCAGAACAAAAGAAAACCCACAAATCCAGAGGATTTTACTTCAGAACAACAGAAAGCCCCCAAATACATGCAGGGTTGTGCATGGTGGCGGCTCACCTCCACCCCCAGATTGAGGAGATGTTTGACAACGTTGATCTGTCCGTTGGAGGCTGCGGCGTGCAGGGGGGTGTAGCCCTTCTTGTCCTTGCAGGTCGCTTCCGCGCCGTGGTCCATGAGCAGCGCCACCACGTCCAGGTGGCCTTCAGAGCAAGCAGCAGAGACACCGTTAAGCTTTACGGGACGACTTGAGGACTCATGCCACCTCAGTGACCCCTGTGAGCTCTCATCGCCGTCAGCATTTTGCTGAGCTCTTTATAAAAAGCTGGTTCATGACAATACTCAACAAATATTTAGAAAGCACCTACTATGTGTCAGGCTTTATGTAAATGCTGGGGTGGGGAGAAATAGATGATTCCTATGGGAGCCTTTTCTGCAGAATCTAGTAGGAGAGATGCCTGTTCGTCAATAAATACTAAGTAAGAACAAGGCCCTGTAACGTGTTAGTACCACAACCTTCAAGCATTATGTTAAAATGAAAGCAATGCTTTTGAAACCCATTGCCATGCCTCACTGAGAGGCCCAACAGTGGCAATTTGGTTTGAAAAAAAATTAATGAAAGAAAAAAAATCAATTAAGCAGGATGACTCTAGATTAACTTTTAAATTATATGAAACTGCTACTGTGTGTGTGTGTGTGTGTTTGGGAGTGGCACAGAAATGGCAATTTCATATGGTTTCACTTAAAAGTATTCTCGTGAATTATTGGCTAAACAGAAAATCCTAGTTTCAACCCCTGTTGGCATATTATCTAGAATATTTCTCTCTGTTCCCTAAGTCACTACATATAATATGTTAAATGCTTTTGACCTTTATTTTGTGGCTGAAGATGGTTTGATGCTTCGGGGTCATCGCTGTAAACATGGTTGATAACTGAAGGGTAGATGAGTACTGTCTCGTCTAAAATGTGTGTGTGTGTGTGTGTGTGTGTGTGTGTGTGAAAAGAGAGGGGTGTATGAGAGAGAGAGGTGTGTGCCTGAGAAAGAGATGTGTGTGTGTGTGCGTGTGTGTGTGTGTGTGAGTGTGTGTGTGTGTGAGAGAGAGAGAGAGAAAGAGAGAGAGAGAGAGAGAGAGTGTTTGGTCATGGCTTGTTTTATTAATATTTGACTCTTTTTCCCCAGGACTTGTATATAGAAAGACTAGTGGTGCTGTCTTTCGTCCTGCTTTGTCCTTTATTTCCTACAGATCATCAACTATGTATTTTCCTATTTGAATCCTGATGACACACATAATGACGACTTTACTTCTTCAAAGCAATTCTACACACATGCTCTAGTCTAGCTGCACATCAGCAAGGAACAGACTGGAAGCCCCGGGTGTCTGAGTGCCATCCCACACCAGCCTACTGTGTGCTCTGCCTGAAGGTCGGCCTGGCAAACGCCCACCGGCTCCAGCCCCACAGGGCCATCCAATCGGCTCAGCCAACCCAGCTCACCTCATCGGCACATGATAGGCTCACAAAGTCTTAGGATTCTGGTGTCCAAGCCCAGAGATGCATTCAGACCCAAGAGCACATCCTTTATTTCATCCCTGCTCCAACCCACCTTCTTTTCTCCCCACAATTAATGTTACTGTTTTTTTATGAGACAAAAGGCCTATATGCTTAAGAAGATTCAGAAAAGCCAAGTAGTATTAAGGAAACCAAAATCACCTACAATCACTAATCCCTGGAGATGATCAACGAACATATACCAGGTTGTTTTTATTGTATAGATTTTTTTAATGGGAGTCATCGTATTGATACTGTGTTGTGATCTGTTTTCAGTTGACATGTCAGAGGACCCTCCTATGTTTATAAATACAACAATGTCATCACTGCTGTTACTGCACAGCGTCCATTGTGTAGATCTCCCATAATTTACCAACATCGTCTCCTGGGGATGGGCCTTTACGTGGGTTAGAACTTGGCGCCAGTAGAATCTTGTCTGCTTTCTAATTGCAGGATGTTCTCCAATCAGAAACACAAGGGAAGGACCTCCGTTTCCCACAGGACCTCACCGAGAATAAACTCTATTCTTGGTCTATCTTTTGTCAGTGGTATTTGGGCCAACAGAAGTGAAAAGGAAAAACAGAGAAATGTACCTTCTCCCCGGCCAAGCTGGCAGAAGCAAGGACTACAAGCCCCAGCTTCGCGGGACATGGAGAATCAGGACAATCCACAGTGACTCCGGCCACCTCAACCTACACAGCAGCCGGGGACGGGGGGTGGGGAGGGGCGTTCTATCCATCCTTCCTTTCTGGTTCTTTCAAAAATATTTATAAATACAAAGACAAATGGCATTTACATCCTTGCTTTGCTAGCCAGGCTGCTTTCTCTGTAAACACCTTATCTTGCTTCCACAACAAGTTAAAAGAAGCACCATTTGTGCAGCTTTCCAATCCAGATTGAAGCGCACTCAGTGGGGTCCAGACCATGATGCATGCCTCCTCCTTCCTGTTGGAGAAATAAATCTCTGGCAAAGCAACTGCCCAACTAGAGTGTTCGACGCCTGCCAGGAAAACGGACCAAATCTCAATCCAGCTGAATCCCAAGCAGAAAAAGAAGTCAGACTTGCCCGAGAAAGAACCCGTGTGGTCAGTGAGAGACCCCTGGCTTCCCTCATGAAGGTCACATGCACCTGCCTTCCATCCACGGACCACTCACCCATGTATGCTGCCCAGTGCAGGGCCCGCCGGTCCTTCTTGTCAAAGGCGTTGATGTTCGCCCCTTTGGCCAGGAGTAGGTTGACCATCTGCAAGATAAGCCAAGAGTGAGGCCCCGTGTGCACTGTGGACGGGGGAGGGCCCCTCGCCGCCCGCAGGGGAACTGCGCCAAGTGGAAGGCCAGGCCGTCAGAGATCGGAGTCAAACAGAGTTCAAACCCGGCAGCATGTGTATCAGGAGAAAAAAACTGAGGTGATGGATACTTTTTCAATTCACTGTGGCTCCAAATTTAAAAATGGATATAGCCTGGCCAGGGTGGCTCAGTGGTTGAGCATCGACCTATGAACCAGGAGGTCACAGTTCCATTCCCAGTCAAGGCACATGCCCGATTCCCAGTGTGGGGCGTGCAGGAGGCAGCTGATCAATGATTCTCTCTTATCATTGATGTTTCTATCTCTCTCTCCCTTCCTCTCTGAAATCAATAAAAATATATTTAAAAATAGGTAAATAAAAATGGATATAAATGCCTGTGGTTTTGTGTACAAATATTATGACCACATTCCATAAAGGTCTCAGCAGTACTATTAGTTCCACTGTGGGAAGAGAGAGAGAGAGAGGACACAGGTGGCAGATGGTTCCATCGGGCTGAGAGCGCGGGAAGGAGGACCCTTGCTCCCAGGAGTGAGGACGCCCACCTCCACGTGGCCGTTGAGGGCGGCGTGGTGCAGGGCCGTGCGGCCGCCGCGGTCAGACACGTTGACGCTGCTCAGCAGGGGAATGATCACTTCTGCACACCTCACGGCCTTGTTGGCGGCGGCGACGTGCAGCGGGGTCTGCCAGTTCTTGTCCCTCGCGTTGACATCCGCCGAGTGCTTAATCAACACTTGCACTGCCTCCTACAAGCAAAGCAGAGTGCGCAGGGGTCACGGACCGATGCCCGATCAATACTCCTTGGGTGTGAGCGCTTTCACCAGACCCCGAGCTACAGAGAGGGCCGGCTCCTGCCCTCGCGGCCGCCTTCATAGGGATGTTCTCCTGTGACAAGCAAAGCGAATGCGAGATAAAGATGCAGAGTGGAGCAGATCCAAACAGACTCCCTGTCCGTCTGTTAGCCAAGGGCCCTGGCACAGCTCCAACACCAAATAAACCTTCTGAGTATAAGGTTTCCTTATAAGGTAGCAGGCGTTTTTGGCCAAATGAGAGAACGCATGTGCAAGTGTGCACATCGGGGCGACATATCCTTCAGCCAAAAGGCCCCCCAAGATCATCCGAGGTTAGAGGTGCTTGTCGATCAGTCTCCCCCTTCCAAAGCCCAAGGCCTTCAAGCCCCTCAGACATTCTTGGATCGATTTAAAATCTTCAGTGCTCTCGGCCAACATCGTAACCCCCACTCTGTGATCGATAAGCAGTGAAGCAAAGAGGATGTCTGTTACCATCTCAACCTGAAGCTACACAAGTGTTTTTCCAGCCTCTTCCATGTTACAAAGGGGTGGTTTCTCTTCTACTCTTGAGTCCCTTCACTTTCCTGAGCCTCCCACTTTTCACTTTCCTTCTATTGACCTTGTCAGCTTGTTTGCCTCTTGAACTACACCTCTACCTTGTTGTGCATGAAACCGCCTGGGGAGCCCTTACAAATAGATGCCTGGTCCCACCCCGAGGGTCTAGCCGGCCTCGGGCTCTCTGTGACCTCCGTGGGGACCTGGTTACACAGCCACGACTGTGATGCCTCTGCTGAATCAAGTGAATGATGCAGCTTCTCTGGGAAGGCGATGGGCTGTGGTTGCTTCTCTTTATTTCCAGAGACATCCTTGGGGCAGTTAATGGAGCTCCTGTATGGACATCTTATCAATCTGTCATCCATGAGCCAATGAAAGGCATCAGTCCCATACTCCTGCCCCCTTCACGGGCCAAGGGCTCACCTCTGCCCACCCTGATCCCCACAGGCCTGGAGTGACCGGGCTTCTAAAAGTGCCCCCGATAGAAGACAATTCAAACTCTCAAGATTAATACTTTCATCAGGGACATAAATGATAAAATACAAAGAATGTTCCATAAATCAGTACATGTGGAAGGGAATGGCTAACTGAGTAGAATGAGAGCTGGTAAAAGAAATTAACTTTGCAGATTAGAGAATCTAGTTTAAAGAAGTGGTGTAACTCCACTTAGATGCTATAAATAAAGGGTAATAAGCTGACAGGGCCCAAGCAAGCAATTTGTTAAGATTACGAAAAAGGGGAGGAAATATATCTGCCACCCATCCTCAGCAAGACAGACAATAAAATAATGATTGCTAAATAGTCCTTGAGCCCATTTCAGAGCAAAACATGTGTACCCATTATGCTCACATACTGTGCTGTGTGAAACATGGCTAGAACTATGGAAGGTTGAGAGAAATATTACCCCAGTAGGTTCTATCCTAAAAACTAGCCGAGTTCACAAAAAATAAGCAAAAGAAAAGCTCAATCACAATAAAGCATTAAAATTTAAATTAGAAAAATGGTATTTTTTTATCAACTTTGTTCTCATAAATATGGAGGTTTAAGTAGACCCACAGGCAATTAATTTGTTGTGATGTGGGAAGAAAATATTGGAATCTTCACTTGTATTTTTCTTTAAAAAGGAAAGCATTTCAGCTGGATTTAACTTCTGGGTTGGCGCTGTGCCCTCAGTCAGCTCTGCAGAAGATCTGGCCTCACAGTATTGGGGATGCCCTCAGGGAAGAGGGGGGCTTCCACAGTCCTGAGGGGGTGGGGTGGCCCTGGCTCCTTTCATTCGCTGGGAGTGCACCCAAAGGCATAGGGAAGAGCCTGCCACATCCATTTACAGGTTGTGAGATGTGCCCTTTAACGAAGAGCATCCTAAATGAAGCCAGGTGTACGCGAGGAACCCGCATGAACACTGTGGAAGCTACGGAGCTGACACTTCCACTCCGGGTAAAGCTTCCTATCGCCTACATTACAAGGCAAAGTAATGACAGATTTCATCAGGTCTGACAGGAGCTTGGCCAAAACAGGAAAGCCTTCAGAAGCCTATTATCTCCCTGGGTCATGGGAGATCTGATAAATGAGGAGCCTCCCCCTGAGTCTATGGTGCCTGGAAATACGACAGCAGTTCAGTGTATAACTTATAAATAAATGAGATGCACATTTTGAAGATGATGCTGGGAAAGTTTTGCAGATATATGGCCAAAAAGATTGAAGATAATCATCTCCAAGAACTGGTGTAAAAACTGCTGGTACAGGATGCTTTTCACACATTCAGAGCAAAATAACAAGACCTACTGTCACTTGAATACCTTTGCCTTGTGCGTTATTTACTGCACTGGTACTAATTCTTGCTCTGCGTTAAGTAGTATGTAAATTGAGGATAGACTGACAAAACAAAATAGACAAGAACATTTCACAAATTCATACATTTTGGAGATAAGACCAGTGAAATCATTAGAAGTTTGTTTTCTAAAAGTCACAAAATGTGTCTATTTTTTGAGTAACTAAGACTAGGGGAATGAGATATTATTTTCAAGAGGTACTTCTTTTAAAGAAATATTTAGAAATGCATTTCACACAAAGCAACAGGTTACGCAAAGAAAATATGTATTTGAGTGTGTGGGGGAGGGGGCCTATATTCTTAAATAGGCAATACTTCTAAAAATATTTTAGCACAGATCATTTTGGTCTGTTTTTGTAAATAAAGTTTTATTGAAACAGCCTCATTCCCTTGAGTTGGGAGTGTCCCTACTCATCCTTGAAGGTCTGGCTCAGCCAGGCATCTCTTCTTGGAAGACGTTCTCTATTCAAGCAGTTCTTTGCTTCCTCCTCCATTCGGTTCTGATGTCGTACTGATCCACTTACCTGCGTGCCTCCCCCTCCAGACTGAGAGCTCACTGAAGTCAAGGACCATGGGGCCCACGCCAGTCACCCCCAGCCCTGTGCCTGCCATGCAGCTGGCACTCAAATCAACAGCTGTTCATTGCTGGTAAGTAACCCTCTTGCATGAGAAGCAGAAGCCTTTAGCTCACCAGTGAGAATCCCTGCTTCAGCAGAGAATGTTTCTCTCCCCAGGGACTGAAGGTGGTAGATCACATCAGCCAGCCACTCACCTCACTCCTGGAGGCCACGGCCCGGTGCAGCGGGGTCAGCCACATGTTGTCCTTGGCATTCACACGAGCTCCTGGAACCAAACAGCACAGGTGAGAGGCATGATGTAGCAGGGGGGGGGGGCGAGGATGGGGGCCTGAGGTCACGTCAGAGGCTGTATCTTGCGCTCTCATTTGCCCGGCACAATCACCAAGCTGCTTTTTGTTTTCCCCTGTATCAGCCCCGTGCTTTCTGGCAACTGCACAGGAGGAGACCCCCAGGGCTGCCGAGGAGCGAGATCAAGAACTGAGAATGTCAGAGAAGTGGTAAAGACTGGGTTGGAAATACGGCGCCTCATTGGGCAGGAGACACAGTAGTGAGAAGACAGGTTCTCCAGGGTTGTGGACATGTGTGTTCTGAGGAATGAAGGACTTTTCCAGTGTGTGTGTGTGTGTGTGTGTGTGTGTGTGTTCCTGAATAGAATGCATATTCCTGGATATAAAATACATAACCAGATAAAGTATTTTCTATTTAGTCATTAAGGATATTTATCTCACAACGCACACAACACTCTCTTGGCAAACGGTCAACGACAAGCAGCCTTCCAACTAGTGTGCACGAGGGGCCAGTCAGCTTCCAAACACGTCAGGTGAAGTTGAGTTCTGAAGGGATTTCGTCTGGGCTGAGAGGATCAACATAAATCTCCTTTATCCAGGAGTCCCCATTCTGTCTCTGGGACTAGCCAGGCATTTCGGTGGGAATAAGGCAGCCTCCATGGAGCGCTGGGGCAGACCAACAGGAAGCCTGTGTGGGCTGCGCATGGCTCCCTCACATTGTGGGGGGACAGATAGGCTTCCTCCAGATCTACAGCTGACCTGATAAAACACCCCATCTGTCCGATCTGCGTGGCTCAGTGGTTGAGTGTTGAGCTATGAACCAGGAGGTCTTGGTTCGATTCCCGGTCAGGGCACGTGCCCAGGTTGTGGGCTAGATCTCCAGTGGTGGGCATGCAGGAGGCAGCCGATCAATGATTCTCTCTCATCATTAATCTTTCTCTCTCTCCTTTCCCTCTCTGAAATCAATAACAAAAAAATATATTTTTAAAAAAGAAAATTATAAAATATAACAACCCCATCTGAGCTCCCTTTTCAGGGGGCTTCAGGGTTTTGACTAGTCTTCTGATCAGAGATGGAAAGTTTTGTTAAAGGGGCTACTAAAGAGGGGGAGCAAGAGAAAATGCCGTCGTCTGCGATGCAGTATGATGAGACTCTTTTGGCCTTAGGACAACAAGGAAGGAAGTTGGTGAGGAAGAAGAGTGAGGAAGCGAGCAAGGCAGGCAGGGGAGGGGAGGCGGGGCGGTGCCTCTGGGACAGGCTGGGACAGGAGGCAAGTGGAAGCAGGGCTGGCTCGTCGCTGTGAGGCCACGGCCAGCTGACAGCTTAAAAAATAGAACCTTGTATTTTTTACGTGTGTGTTTTTTTAAAGGCACCAGGAGATGATGAGCTAGAAATTTAGTTTAAGATACCAGCTAAAAGGAAATAACAAATCATAGACTGTACACAACCTTTTTCTGTTTAACTGAAGGACAAATACCATTAACGATATTAAGTATAGAAAACAAGAACATAATAATCCTAAAACCAAGAGACAGACTCCTGTCCTCCCACCCCCCAGACTAATTTCATTGGTTTGAGATGGGGCCAGGCACATGTATACTTTAAAAAAATTTTAAATATATTTTTATTGATTTCAGAGAGGAAGGGGGAGAGAGAGAGAGATAGAAACATCAATGATGAGAGGGAATCATTGATGGGCTGCCTCCTGCACCCCCCCTACTAGGGATGGACCTCGAAACCCAGGCACATGCCCACAACCCTGGCAGGTGCCCGGACTGGGAATTGAACCGTGACCTCCTGGTTCATAGGTTGACGCTCAACTACTGAGCGACGCCGGCCGGGCCTGGGGAGCTTTGAAGGAATACTTGTGGCCCGGCCAGCATGGCTCAGTGGTGTTTCTCCCTCTCTCCCCCACTTTAAATATCGGGGGGACCACTTTATAAAGTATATGATTCTTGAACCACTACGCTGTACAGCCGAAGCTAATACAGAATAATATTGAGTATAAATAGTAATTGAGGAAAAAACTGAGTTGAGTGTTTTGAATAACAAAATTCACTAGTTGCAAAATAAAATAATTCAGGAAGTTGAAAAAAAACTATTAGAGAGAGGCAAATGACAGCAGCATTGGCGTACCATGCCACACCCATCGAATTGGTGAAAATGACACAGTCTGACAACGCTGAGTTAGCAAGAGTGGGGAGCAGCAGAGAGGCTACGTACAGAGGGCGCGAGTGCGGACGGGTGTAGCCCCTTTGGCAAGCAGTTTGGTTCCACCTGGTAACACTGAACAAATGAAGTTGCAGAATAATACCTACGGCATAATGCCAGTCACATACAGTTTTTAAATTGACAAAAATAATGCTGTATGTTGTCTATAGATGCACAGACAGGAAGTAAAAGCAGCAACTATGGCTAAAGAAACCAGCATCCTCTAGAGTGGGTGCTCTGGGGAGGAGGGTGGGGAAAAGGATGAGCAAGCACAGCCAATGGGCTGCAACTGTGTCTTCAACATTTTATTCCCTTTAAGAAAGGATACGATGCAAATATGGCAACTTTGACTTCATAAATCTTGGTATACGTGGTATTAATTATATTATTTTCCACATTTTTCAGTATGTTAGAAATATACAATGTTTTTAAGAGAGCTAACACATTTGAAGTTTAATGTTTCTTAATAAAATGGAAGGCGGGGTGTGAACTTGCTTTTTTTACACTATTTTATTCTTGGTCAGTGGCCCTTGATTAAAAAATGACACCTCCGCCCTAGCTGGTTTGGCTCAGTGGATAGAGCATCAACCTGTGGACTGCAGGGTCCCGGGTTCAATGCACATGCCAGGGTTGAGGGCTCGATCCCCAGTGGGGGTCGTGCAGGAGGCAGCCGATCAATGACTCTCATCATTGATGTTCTCTCTCTCTCTCTCTCTCTCTCTCTCTCTCCCGCCCCTCTCTCTCCCTCTCCCTTCCTCTCTGAAAATAAATTTTTTTAA